GACCATCTTCCACTGCTTTCCCAGGCCACAGCAGAGAGCTGGATCGGAAGTGGAGCAGCCGGGAATGAACTGGAACCCATATGGGATGCTGGTACTGTAGGCAGCAGCTTTTTCCTCCTAAGCCACAGTTCCAGCCTTCGTCTTACAGTTTTATTATAGCCATCTTAGAGGGTACAAGTGGTCCCTTGTGGGGAGCAACTGGGAGCAACTCGGACTAGACTAAGTTACTGGAATTAAGACTTATTCTATGCATCTGCTCTCCCACAATATGGCGCTGGGAGAGAAGAAAACAGCTTCTACACAGCTGCCTCCAGTTCAGCCAATAAACTGTAGGACTTGCTCCTGATTGGAGGAGAGCAGCGTACTCGGCGTATGGGCAGCCGAGTTGGGATTGGCAGAGGAGGACTATAAAGGAGGAGAGAGACGGCATGCACCAGGAACATCTAGGGGGAACATCTATCTGAAGGAACACCTGTGCAGCCCCCGAGAGAGCCGGCCGGCGGTGTGCTGCTCCCCCGCGGAAGTGGGGAATGTGGCAGGGGGAACCGCCCTTCCACGGAGGTGGAAGGGACGGTAGCCAACCCGGGAAGGACCAGCAGCCAACCCGGGAAGGACCAGCAGCCAACCCGGGAAGAACCAGCAGCAAACCCGGGGAGGGCCGAGCAGACGAAAGAACAACGCAGGGTCCTGTGTCGTTCCTCCACGAAGACGGGGAGCGACAGTCCCTCATTGTGGTTTTGGTTTGCACTGCCATAATACCTAGTGATGGAACATTTCTTTTCATGTCCTTATTGGCCATCTGTATTATCTTCTTTTTCTGCAAGCAGCTTTCTTATTGACTTCTCTTCCAGCAGCTAGTAACTGTACTTATAACCGTAGCTCTGCACCTAGAGGACAGGAATGCATAGGTCCAGTGAATAGCACTGAATGGGCAGGAGTGCATGGGCCCAGAAAACAGCACTGAGTTCCTGCTGAGATGAAAATAATATCCATATTGCTGTAGCAGAGGAGAATAAAAGGAGGCCTTTCAATTTCCAAATTGGAGGGAAGCTAGAATCTACTTCCCATTATTCTTGTGATCCTACATTCCACAAATGAAAACTATAAGAGCATGTTATAAGAAAACAAGTTTAAATGGTTTTGGAGTCAGAATATTAAGAGACTTTGTTATAATATCATTTTTTAATAGAGAAATCAAATACTTTCTAACAAGCCAAGATTTACGGTAAAACCACTTGAATCATTTCTATGAATGAAGGTAACACTATAGCAGGGTTATGCTAATGCTCAGGCTTTGACATCAGCCAGACCAAGGTCTGAATCCTAGCTCTGTCATTAACTGAATGATCTTGGACAGGTTACAGAGCCTCTTGACTCCTCAAATATCTCATATATGAAATGCAGTAATAAGTGTATCGTGAGGCACTGAGCACAGCACCCAGCACCATGTGCACATCAACTGGGGGCCACCTTCGTATTCCATTCCAGTGCTTGCCAGGTTCCAGGCGTTTCTTCTGTACCCTCAATAGACAACATCTAACATTTCTACCCAGGGAGGATGTAGAAGGAAGTCAAATAAAATATGTTTTCTAAATGCTATTAAGTGGGTGGGCGTTTGGCCTAGTAGTTAAGATGCCAGTTGGGATACCCGCAACTCATAACAAAGTCGAATACTTGGCTCAGGTTCCTAACTCCAGCTTGCTGCTAATGTGCACCCTGGGAGGCAGCAGGTGGTTGCCCATGTCATTGGATTCCTGCCACCCGTGCGAAAGCTGGAGGAAGTTCTCGGTGCCTAGCTTTGGCATACTCCAGCCCTGGCCATTGCAGGCATTTGAGAAGTGAAGTAGATGGGAGTGCTCTCTCTCAAATAACTTTTAAATGTCAAAAATCAGTCCATCAATCGATCAATCAATACCAATAAGAACATCAAACTCTGATATTTTTAAATGAGTAGCAACTATCCAACATAAAAATATTTTTTCCATGTTGTTAATTAGAATACACATACACACAACAATGCAAACAGCTCTTTCCATTAACTCTGAGTCATGAAGGCCTTTGTGTCTTGCCTCTATGGCATTAATGTTACCATTAGTTTTTACAGCTTCAAATAAACAAATACTGAAATAAATTTAAAAAAAAATTTGTAGTGGTTATACTTAAAGAGCAGAAAATCCTAGAAGTCAGGAGAAAACAAACTGACCAAATCGCTGAAAGAACAACAGATGACCTTCAGGAAGGCCACTGTTGTTCTGCCCGTGCCAGGCAGACGTCTAAGTTACCAAGACCGTCGGTCCAGAAGACACTCTAGAGTCATAACACACACAGGACTTGTGACTGTGCCTGTGCCCAGCAGGTCAGTGAAGGACTGTGCCTCACATATCTAGGCCAACCACCATGGGAAGACAAACTGGGATATCACCCAAACACCAACACATTCTTAAAACAAAATCAAGAAGGAGGAAGAGGAAGAGAAAGAGGAGGAGAAGGACAATATTACTGATCATGTTAAACAAATTAGGGGTCAGTGAGACAGCATCAAACAGCCTACAAGATGGGATAGCAGCCACACACTGCAGTCAGGTGTATGGTCTGTTTTTCAGGAGCAAAGGGAACATGCCTTACATGTGCCTGTAACATGGACTAAGTGCTAGATGCAAACGATGCTCTAAAAATGGATTCAGATTCTTATTGCACGTTAAAAATGGATAGGACCCACGATATCGAATCCAACTACTGAAGTCTACACATCAGGAAAATGAGGATCTTCATTTATAAATCAGGAACAGAAGGACCACAGAAGCCCCCAAGCAGCACAAGGATAAAAGGGTATGTCGGCTCCTCACATAATTAACTCAAAGCTAATCACTTTATTTACACATCATTAAGAGCAATGATTATCTTGCCTGAAGAATCATTTACAGTTTTAAAGGAAATGCAGTGTTAAGATACAATTTTTTTTTTTTTTTTACGTAACAGTTGGCTCTCCTCAAGCTCTCCTTAGGAATTTTGGGTTGGATTAGCTGGCAGAGATAGCTAATACCTGGAGCTTACCACTATCAACTTCCCAGTCTTCCAGCCTGGAAGCTATCTGGCCTGAAAACTGATTTTATTTCATGATCATTCACTATTGGTTGTCTCTATTTCCACAGAAACTCTATAATCACAACCACAACTTCTAACACGGAGCCCACGTAAAACAGGAGACCAGGAGGGTCACGTGTTAACTCTCAAGGATGCTCTTGAGGATGTGACCTTTCCCAGCACTCAGGTCTCAGCTCATTCACCTCCTAGACAGGCCTCCCTTGATTACCCCTCTACTCCTGCCCCCAACTACCACTTTGCCCGGGCTTCTTTCCATTGGCTTTATCAGAATCTTAAATCGCTTACTTTGTCTGCTTATATTTTTGACATCTGCCCTCTGCTCTAGGCTGTAAGCTCCACAAGGGCATGGAGTTGAGTCTTGGATTGTACCACACTATCACCAAGACTGAGACTGACACCTAGCACACAGCTTCCTCAGTATTCACCAAATGAATAAATGAATGCGTGCATTTCCAAGTCTGGCTCACCTAACCCTAATGGTTACCGCCATTCCAGGATATTTTGGAAGTAACAAGTGGATGTCTCACTGGGACCGTGGACCATGGAAATATTCTGATGGGTGATATAGGTGCTCATGAGTATCTTGCAGCCAGAGCTTACTTTGACTCTCCCTGCTAGGCATGGCCGTGCCTCTCTGACTTGTTCACTTGGCATCTGCAGGGCCAAGGAACCTCTAAAGAGGATTAGGGAAGGGTGTCATAAGGTGGAGGAGGGAGCCAATAACTGAAACTGACTGAGGTCAGAGAAAGACAATGGAGAAAGAAAGGTAAGGATTCAGGCAGTGTCAGCAGTGCTGCTAGAGCCCCTCACAACACTGCCACTGGTTGATACGAGATGCTGCGACTCCTCATCTCTCACGTGGATCCTAACGCTGTGCTTCTCAAACTGCAGAACCACCTAAGGGTTTATTAAAACAAGGATCACTGGGCCCATCCCCCAAAGAGTTTAAGTCCTTAGGTCAAGGCAAGACAGATGGGCACATCTCACAAGCTCCCAAGTGATGTGCATACGACCACTCTGCAAGCCTCTGTTTGAGCAGGATGTGGTAGCGGTGCCATCCCAGGGACTACTGAGTAACACAAGTGTGGCCAGTGTGCCTAAAAAACAGAATTCCTAATTTTACTTAAATGTAATCAGTTCCAACATAAATAGCCACGTGTGGCTAGGGGCCACTGTACCGTAGAGTACAGCGAGTACATTTCCACCACCGCGGGAGGTTCTCCTGAACAAGGCTACTCCAGAGCACCTGGAAGCTGTGCTGCCAACCGTAACCACAGCCTCTTCTCCTCATTAGCAGAAGTGGGTCAGTTTAAAAGGGAAACTTTTTAAACAAAGTTATACTTGTGTGCCTCTGTATCCCACTGTGCCCTATCAGTCTGAGAGGAGACAAGCTTAGAACAAGGGCACCAGCTGCTCAGGTGATGCTGAAGCTAAGAGGCCCTGGTGTCTGGTGGGAGATGGAAGAAGAAAGCAGCCAGGACAGTTGGTGCCTCCCACAAGGGGGTTTGTTTTGTCATCAAGTAGAGACAGAATTCAGGTTTGATAGAGTCCAGAAAGTCAGACTCACCTATGTTCCCATATAGGAGGGAAAAACAGTAATTCACGTTAAGGCTACTTGCTGCCCAAGATCATCCAGTCCACTTTCACACAGAGGACCGGCTGCACTCACATACTCACACTAAACACCTTCACGTCACTTCTGTTTCTAATTTCTTCCACAAGAGCCAGCGGTTTTCCCTTAGGGACTGGGATTGTGCCAAGAATTATGGTTCCTGGGGTGGACAGTGTCTGACGAACAGCCTGGATGAAGGGCTGACTGAAGAGTTCCATTTTCCCGATCTCATCGATGACACATACTCTTTGTCCTGAGCCGCTGCTGGAACCTGCCTGGGAATGACAAAGACATTGACAAGGAACCAAAGTCACATTAGCCAAAGGGCCCCTGGGTCCCGCCCCATCAGTCACCAACCAGCAGTCACAGGGTGAGTCAGCTATGCTTTTGAAGTCAGAAGATGGTCCCTGTGGTCCACAGGGAGCAAGTTGTGGAGACTAATCTTAGAAGGGCTCCTTTGGAGCTGCAGTACCCAGAAAATCCGATTCCCTGAGTCAACAAGCTTCTCAGAATTACTCCTTCAAAACAGCAGCAGGGGCTGGCTCTGTGGCATAGCGGGTAAGGACACCGCCTGCAGTGCCGGCATCCCATATGGTTTGAGTCCTGGCTGCTCCGCTTCTGATCCAGCTCCCTGCTAATGTGCCTGGGAAAGCAGTGGAAGATGGCCCAGGTGCTTGGGTCCCTGCACCCACATGGGGGACCTGGAGGAAGCTCCTGGCTCTTGGCTTCGGATTAGACCCACTCCGGCCGTTGCAGCCATCTGGGGAGTGAACCAGGGATGGAAGACCTCTCTCTCTGCCTTTGCCCCTCTGTAACTCTGCCTTTCAAATAAATTAAAAAACAAACAAACAAACAAAAAAAAAACAGCAACAGTAATGAAGCTTTGTATTCACATATACTCAGGAAACAAATGGCTCCTGAACACTTCAGGTTTAAATTAAATGAAACAGCAAAGCTTATCAATAATTAACCTTTATTAATAATACCATTTTTGCTTTATTTTGGGTCATAAGATATTCCCCATTTGTTGAGAAAGATAATTGCTACAGGCAGATGCATTTCATAATCTGACCTATGAGAGTTCATGGAAAGACAGAAAAATAAAAAGAGAAATAGTCTTCCTTCTTCAGTTAAAAGAAAAACAAGTGACTGTGAGTGCAATGGTGCCCTTTAGATCTCAGATTCCTTTTTCTAATGACTTTATTCCAATCCATGTCCATTACTTCCTTGAAAATCCTACTCAGAATAGGCATGGCAGCCAGCATCCAAGAGTTCTACTGATTCCACACACAGCCCTCTCGCATAGTAACAAGGTAGTATGTGTGATCGACAGAATACGGCAATGGTACGTCACCTCTGAGACTAGAGCAAACGAAGCCTGCTTTTTCTGTATGGCTGGCCTTTCTAGGATCACTCGTTCTTGGGAGGGGAGCTGTCATGTTGTGAGGACACACAGGACCATGTGGTGATGCACTTGAGGCCTCATGCCTATAGCCAGAGAGGACCAGCCTGCCAGCCACCAACTGAGCAGGCTCAGAGGCAGACCCCTCAGGACCACAGGCCCAGCAGACACGTGTCCTACAGCAATGAGAGCCCCTGAGCCAGAACCACCAGCAAAGCTACACCTGGATTCCTGCCCCTCAGGCTCTGTGAAATAACACGGTTGCTGCCTTAAGCTGCTGTACTTGGGGGTGATCTGCTACAAAGCCAACAGGTAACGAGTGGACAAGTACTCTCTAGAATGACCTTGTTGAGAAAGCTGATAGGACTCTGGCCTCCCTCAGGAGGGACACAACAGAACATAGAATAAACACTTCAATGAATGCTAAGTGACAACTCCATTTTACATATCTCTGTGTAAACGAGCTTTGTGAAAACTGTATGTGAAGCTGGTTTACAAGGTGACAGCAATGCAGTCCAGGAGTGCCTGTCTCAGTTACACTGGATTTTCCTCAAATCCCAAATGCCAAAGCTATGTGGGGTGCAGTATCACTGGTGGAAGGTGCATGTGGCAGCCAGGGACACAAGGGCCAGATCTTATAGGCCTTGATGGAGTGCAGTGCAGTGGAGATTTTGTTCCACAGACAAAAGCCTACACCAGGGGGATCACAAGTTGTGTGAGAATGTCTGGGGCTGCGTGAAGTAAAGATGATGTGTCAGACACTGGGACAGACAATATGAGAGGGTGGGGTCTTAACCCAGTTTGTGGTTGGAGGAGAGCATGAAAGCAGAGTCTCAGACTTTTATGTCAGTGATGCTCTACCTTCTTACTGAACACTGTGGACATATGCTATGTTTCTCCACTCTTTTTAGTAGCACAAAGACCAAGAATTTTTCCACTGTAATCACCCAACAGAGGTCTGAACAACAGCCCAACGTCTGTTTCTGATGCACTTAGATTTTTTTCTACTGCACTTACCTGAACACAAAGCTGGTCTCCCTTCTGAGAACACAGACACAGTGTCCTCGTGTCTGCCTTCTCCATGGAACTGAGTGATGATGGAGAGCTGAGAGGTGGAAAGTGGACAGGGCCAAGGCTGCCCTCCATGGGCTGGGGTGGGAGGAAGGGAGATTGTGCATGCAGTAAGTCACTATGCGTGCCACGTTTTTCCTTCAAAAATGAGTGGCAAATGTGGGAGAAGTAAAATGGCTTTCAGCCACCTGTCTGTGCTGATAAAAACAGACAACCCCACAGGAAGGTTTCTGCCTGGGAGCAAGGCATTCTAACTGACCTCTTACCAAGTAGCATCGGGGGCATTTTACTGCCTCCGAGACAATGAATCATCACAGAGGTTGTCTTTCCGGTGGCTACCATCTACAAGCCATTTTGGTATATCAGAATGACCGTTCTGAAAGCTGCCAAATCAGACAAGAAAGAGCATTATGAAAGAATGTATTTAAATGATTGCATATATGTGCCCAGCCACTGCACATTGCCATGTTTGTAATAATACATGTGTAGGACGGGTTGAAATGCACAAGTATTTGGAGCATCTTCAGCTGCCTTCGTAAGGAGCCAGATTAGAGGCAGAGTAGCCAGGTCATAAACCAGTACTCTGATATGGGATGCTGGCATTTCAAACAGTGGCAGCTTAACCTGTTGTACCACAATGCCAGCCTCAAGAGGAGGTTAATTTTTTTTTTTTTTTTTTTTTTTTTTTGACAGGCAGAGTGGACAGTGAGATAGAGAGACAGAGAGAGAAAGGTCTTCCTTTTGCCGTTGGTTCACCCTCCAATGGCCGCCGCTGCAGCCGGCGCACCGCGCTGATCCGATGGCAGGAGCCAGGAGCCAGGTGCTTTTCCTGGTCTCCCATGGGGTGCAGGGCCCAAGCACCTGGGCCATCCTCCACTGCACTCCCTGGCCATAGCAGAGAGCTGGCCTGGAAGAGGGGCAACCGGGACAGAATCCGGCGCCCTGACCGGGACTAGAACCCGGTGTGCCGGCGCCGCAAGGTGGAGGATTAGCCTATTGATCCACGGCGCCGGCCCAAGAGGAGGTTAATTTTATAAAGTGGTAGAGATCTCTATTTTAGTGCTTTAGGGTGGAAGAAAATGTTAATAGTATATGTTTTCCAAATCTTAATGGAGAATGGGAATGGGGGAGGGAGGAGGAGATGGGGAGGGACTGAGGGTGGAGGGCAGGTTATGGTGAGAAGAATCACTATATTCCTAAAGATGTACTCATGAAATTTATATTCATTAAATAAAAGGTTAAAAAAAATGTGTAGGGATAAAGCACGTGGCTCTACAACAACATCCCATCCTGTAACTCTCTAGAACACTCACCAATGAGAGCTCATCTATATTAAGTTTCAGCACAAAGATATTTGGATATGCATGCATATATAATTTTCTACCAAATGGAAATGCTTGTTTTAAATATAAAATCCTCATTCTGTCCAGAATTAGGCATTTTTATAAACCAGGAACTGTGGAAATCTCAAAAATAAGTCTGTAATTTTAATAAAAAAAATGAAGTTATTCACACTCCACTGAGAGGCAGATGTCAGAAGCTGAAACACTCAGAAGCCTGTAAACACTTGGCTTATGTTTCTAAATAGCACATGAACTCAGGAGCTTAAAAAAGGAACCGCTATTATGTTCAAAGCTGGTTTATTTCTATCTAAATTCAAGCCACTTTAGAGGGAAATATAAAACACATCAGTGAACCTGTATTCACCTGTGTCACTGCTCTAAATTCTGGCAGATAAAGACACAGTCTTACAAGTCACAGGGGCCCAGGTTGGAGGATAGTCAAGGACCTGCCCTGCCTCCATTTCCATGTGGGAGAGCACTGGGCTCCCACAGTAACTCTGCCTGAAGCTGCTGGAGTGAAGAACTGTACGTGGCTCTCGGCCACATGGTTACAGTCTCTGCGCACACATCTCCTGCGTGTACACACCAGCCACCCTCTCCCCAGAGGCATCACTTCTGGGGGTTGCACTGTGGTCCTGTGTCACTCAGCACAGCCACTCTGCCCAAGCCCTTCTTCTTGGTTCCATTTTAGCTGATAATAAATTTTCAGCCACAAAGAGTGAGGAAAATTTCTTTCCCCGCAGCATTTTCAGTTGCTCTGTTCTGAGAGGGAAGGTATTTCTTTCAGATGGAGTCCAGCGATTGGGCAGCTAGGGTTAAGAGAATCCATGAATAACTTCATAGTTTTGGTTGTACTCAGCTAGTCTGCTTTCCAGAAAGATTAAACTGACTTAGAGCAACAAAATATTTTTGTACCAGTTATACCAGAGACCTAAAAATAATGTGCGTGGGGTTTTCTTTTTCTTTTTGGTCTTTTGTTTATATGAAACTTTAAGAATATAGGAAAAATGTAAATACAAAATACACACTTCATTTAACCAAAATATTGAAATAAGAGCAACCTAATTAAAGTAGTTTTTGCCTTATTCTGAATGATTTGCGTAATATATATTTCTGGTGGTATTAATTAATGTATTTTTTGAATATCAAACACACAGAGTGGCTTCTGAGCTTGTCCATCTGGGACATGAAGTGTTGAAAATCATGGTAGGGAAGTAGGGGTCTACCAGAAGTCAGGCAGCAGAGCCATGGCCCTGCCCTTCCAACGCCACAAGTTCTGGGCAAACAGAAAGAAAGGCAAATGGTCACAGTAGCCACTGCCGAGCCAGCTCACAAGTCCTCTCACCCTGAAGTTAGCTAAAACTGCAGGCCCCCAACCAGACTTTCTGTTGTTTATTCCAAGCCTTCATGTTTCAGAACTCCTTCACAGTCTGGTGGCATGTGGACTGTGTGTCCCCAGGAAGGAGTCAGGACAAGATGTCTAGACTATTGCACACGCCCGGCCTTGCTCCACTTAGACCCACCCTGGGCAGAAGCTCCTCTCACAGACATGCCAGAGATTCCCACCCCAAGGCTTAGGCTGACTAGTCCTGAGGCTCCTCCTGGGTGCCCTAGGTGACTTCCCGGGGACCCAAGAGCTCACCCACACAATAACCTGATCCAGAGCACCCCAACCCTTGTGGCATTTCCTAAGCTGCAAGAACTATCCTCAGACCAAAACAGCATCTGCTGGCTGACAGCTCAGTGGGATGAAGAACCCAATATTCCTGATCCCAGAACTCCTGTACCAGCCTGGACATTTGGGCTCCTGGGACTCCATAACAGATGTATGGCCCCACTCTTGCCTCTGGGTTTTTGGTAAACACAAATCAAACTGAGTTGGGCCGGCGCTGTGGCTTAGCGGGTTAGCATCCTGGCCTGAAGCACTGGCATCCCATGTGGGCGCCGGTTTGAGATCCGGCTGCTCCACTTCCGATACAGCTCTCTGCTATGGCCTGGGAAAGCAGTAGAAGATGGCCCAAATTCTTGGGCCCCTGCACCCATGTGGGAGACCCGGAAGAAGCTCCTGGCTCCTGGCTTCGGATTGGCGCAGCTCCAACAGTTGTGGCCAATTGGGGAGTGAACCATCGGATGGAAGACCTCCCTCTCTCTGCCTCTCCTTCTCTCTCTGTGTAACTTTGACTTTCAAATAAATAAATAAATCTTTAAAAAAAAATCTGTGATGGGATGTACCTGCCAAGGTACTGCCACCCATCACCTCACCTCACTGAACTCCCAAGGAAAAACAGCCAGAGCTATTCCTCTGTTCAAGGCCTCCTAAAGAGCCAGGGTTTAGAGCATTTTACAATCATTTGTGTTCAGTCCTCCTACCAACTTCACAGAACAGGTATCAGCATCTCTGTTTTATAGATGAAAAAGGAAGTCAGAGGTTGAATGACTTATGCAAAGTCAGAGAGCACAGGGACAGAGTTAGAATCAAACCCAAGATCACTTGACGCCAAAGCCCCCCTTCCACACCCCATGTGCAACACAGCTGCACGTTTTCATCCTGAAATATGGAAGAGCGATATCCAGGAAATTCATCTAACACTGAAGAAACCGATCTTTTCTCCAACAAGAAGGAAGAGTCCTCTACTTTCTAGAGGTCTACAAAGGAATAGACAGAAACCTCAATTTCTTTTTAAATATTAATTAAGTAATTAATTAAGAGAGAGAAAGAGAAAGAGAGAGAGAGAATCTTCCACCTGCTTCCCGAAATGACTAACAGCTGGGGCTTGGCCAAGCCAAAGTCAGGAGCCCCTAATTCCACCCAGGTCTCCCGTATGGGTATAAAGCCCAAGTTCTTGGGCCATCTTCTGCTGCTTTCTCAGACACATTAATAGAGAGCTGGACTGGAAGCAGAGCAGCTGGGATTCAAACTGGTGCTCCAATATGGGATGGCGGCTTTGCAAGTGGCAGCTTAATGTACACCACATTGCTCGTCCCCCTATTTTATATATTTACAGATACACATACAAGGAGAGAGAGTAAGAAACAATAAGGGAAATTGAGCTAAAAATGTTAAACACAGTTGAGAAATGAGCATTTAGCCTAGGAATTAAGACATCTGCATTGCATTCCACACTGGAGTTGCCAAAGTTCTACCTGAAGATGTAGCTCCTGACTCCAGCTTCCTACTAATGCAGATCCTGGAAAGCAGCAGTGATGGCTCAAGTAACTGGGTTTCTGCTACTCAAATGGGGAGACCCTTGAATTCCTGGCTCCCAACTTAGGCTCTGCATTAGCCCCAGGTTTGGCCATCTGGGGAGCAAACCAGTGGCCATGAGCAAATTTTTTCTGTCTCTCCCTTTCTCCTTCTCAAATAATTTTAAAAAGACCTTTTTTAAAAAAAAGATTTATTTATTTATTTGAAAGTCAGAGTTACACAGAGAGAAGGAGAGACCGAGAGAGAGAGAGAGAGAGAGAGAGAGAGAGAAGTCTTCCATCTGCTGGTTTACTCCCCAGTTGGCTGCAAAGAAGCCAGGAGCCAGGAGCTTCCATCTGGCTCTCCCATGCAGGTGCAGGGGCCCAAGGACTTGGGCCATCCTCTATTGCTTTTCCAGGCCATAACAGAGAGCTGGATAGGAAGTGGAACAACTGAGACTCGAACCGGTGCCCATATGGGATGTCTGCCCTGCAGGTAGCGGCCACAGTGCCGGCCCCAAAAGAATTTTTTTTTTAATAGTTGACTCTGGA